TATGTCTTTGCAAGTGTGCCAGCGTGTGTTTGTCTACGTGTGTATGTATTTGCGTGTGTGTCTGTATGTGTTTGTCTCCACGTGTATAAGTGTGTGTGCGTGTATGTGTGTATATGTCTGTGTATATGTGTCTGTGTGTATAAGTGTGTCTGTTTGCGTAAGTCTGTGTGTGTGCATATATCTGTGTATATATGTCTGCTGTGCGTTTGCGTGTGTGCCAGTGTGTGTTTATGTGGATGCATGTATGTGTCGGTGTGTCTTTCTCTGTGTGTTTGTCTGCGTTAGTGTATGTGTTTGCGTGTGTCTGTGTTTGTCTCTATTTGTGTCTGCGTGTGTGTGTCTGCGTGTTTGTATGTGTGTCTGGTTTGTGTGTATGTGTGTTTGTGTGTCTATGTCTGGGTCTGTGTGTATTTTACACTGTGTGTTTGTGTCTGTATGTGTCTGCGTGTATGTGTTTGTGTGTCTGTGTATGTGGGGTTTTGTGTTTTTGTCTGCCTGAGTGTCTGCGTATGTTTCTGCATGTGCGGATGTGTGTGTTTGTCCATGTGTGTCTGCATGTGTGCCTGTATATGTATGTGTGTCTGTTGATATTTATGTCTGTGTATGTGTGTCTGCGTATGTGTGCCTGCTGAGTGTCTTAGTTGTGTATGTATGCATGTGTGTGTCTGTGTGTGCTTGTGTGTGTCTCTGTAAATATCACTGTGCATATGTGTGTGCGAGTAAGTGTCTATGTGTGGATGTCTGTGTGTGTCTCTGTGTGTTTGCCTGTGTGTGTGTCTGCGTGTGTGTGTCTGCGTGTGTGTCTACGTGCCTGGAGGGCTGAATGTTAAACAGGCCTACGTGTCAAATTTTTCACGCTAAAAATATATTTAGCTCGATCAGTTTTGTTTTCCTATCTCAACTTTCTCTCTCTCTCTCTCTCTTTCTCTCTCTCTCTCTCTCTCTCTCTCTCTCTCTCTCTCTCTCTCTCTCTCTCTCTCTCTCTCTATCTCTCTCTGCCTCTTTCTGTCTCTCTCTCATTCAGATCTATCTATACCAGCCCAGTGGCACCATGACTCTAATAATATTCATCTATTCCACTAACAGGGTACCACGACCGGAGGCAGCATGAATCCCGCGAGATCCCTGGGTCCTGCCGTTATCACAGGCACCTGGACTAACCACTGGGTATGTTGTCCACTTATTGAGATTACATGACCGTTTCTGTGTCATCTACAGAGTGATGGCTGCGTCTTCAGTTGCACATGAATCACCTGAGGCAGAGGCCGACAAGACACCAAGGACGCATTGGGCTGAAGAACTGGCTAGAGTCAGGGTCTTTCAGGTGTGCGGTCAAGAGAGCTACTTTCTTTAAACAATCGTGTGATTGTCACGACACGAACAGAGAGAGATAGATTAACTGGTTCTCCTGCCAGTGAGGGATAGATCATCACGGTCTGAGGAGATGATGTGAGTGACCAGGGAATCTGGCGGCTGTCTCAGCACTGAGAGGAAGGGCAGAACGGACATAGAATCAGATTACTGATGCCAGTGAGGGATAGATCATCACGGTCTGAGGAAATGATGTGAGTGACCAGGGAATCTGGCGTCTGTCTCAGCACTGAGAGGAAGGGCAGAACGGACATAGAATCAGATTACTGCTGGTCTCATCAGAACTGGAAATGACGCTGCCTCTTGAAGACTCGGACTGAGGGCTTATGGAATTTCTCGAAGGATTTGATTTGACTGCAAAGACAATATTTCAAGGAAAATTTGGTGGAAGTAGGCGGTGTTATTGAAGAATAATGGGGGGGGGGGGGATGATTAACATGGAAGGACAACATTAAGATAAGTAAATACTTTAAGTGCACATAGCACGTTACCTTAGATTTTGCAGCCTCAGTGACATCTGCAAATTTCACACCTCTAATCGTCACCGTTTGGGAGTCCGACAAGAGACAAAGAGCCGAGCGACACATGGATTTTTAGTTTTATATTATAAGATTGTTTTTTTTTTTTTCTATCTTTATTTGTGTGTGTGTGTGTTGTTTATCAGATAGAATTAATTGATTAAATACATTATTATGTATTTATTGTTTTCATTACCATTACTTCTTTTATGATTTTATTTATTTGTTTTTTAAGTTGTTGTTATCGGTTTTGCTAGCTGTGAATTTATTATGGCTTTTATTTTGTAGATAAATAATGTTATTTTGATTGATAGATCTACTGGGTGGCTCCAATAGCTGGAGGTATCATCGCCGCTCTGGTCTACGAACACGTCTTCGCCGAACAGACCAAGGAGACGAACACGGAACTGAACACCTTCCAGTACAACAACCTGGAGATGCAGAGAACTGGTTACCTAGACTTTACCCTGGACATCCCCGGGCCTGGAAACGACAAAACCAGTGCACCTGTCGAGTTCAACAAGGCCCGTCGGTTCTCCGCCGCCTTCCTGCTCAACGCTTTCACCGGGAAAAACCGAGAATCCAAGGCCTCAACAAGTGAGACTCCGTAAACTGACCTTTTACACATCCAGATGAGGTCACTGCGGTAAAGCTATACAAATCTAAATAAGATCTTTTTAAAAAAAAAAAAATGCAAAATATAAGAAAGAGAAAAGATAGAAAATTTGAAGAAAAACATAACTTACGAAACCACTCAACAGACAGAAAAGAAAAAAAACATGAAAATTACGTCGCGAAGATTAGCCATTATAGGCAGGACAATCCCAACAAAGGGGAAAAAAAACACACACATACAAATATGATTTTTTTTAATGTGTTTCTTGTCCTGGTTCGTCTGATGAAGGTTGGTCTCAGCAAGGTCCTCCGATTGTTTATTACAAGTGGTTTTGTACAGCTTATATATTTATATATACTTTATGGTTTTTTTTTTTTTTTAAACCATCGTCTATCTTTTCTCTTCCCTATCTTTTGTATTTTTGTTTTACAACTGTTTTAGACAGACAGGCATGCAATCAAAGGTGTTTGCTCTAACTTGTCGTTGTGTAAACTTAGGGTACAATCAAAACTTCAGGGATGGATTGGTGCAAGGAACAGTTGAAGTTCGGTGTTTCATGTAAATACAGTATTAGTGGCGATTGATGGCTGCCGAGACATTCAGTCTCACTGCTTGACGTCTGCTGCTATAGATTATATTATTATTATTACTATTAATAATACTATTGTTATTGTTGTTGCTGTTATTATTACCATAATTATTGTGATGATATTTTCTTCTTTTTCTTCTTCTTCTTCTTCTTCTTCTTCTTCTTCTTCTTCTTCTTCTTCTTCTTCTTCTTCTTCTTCTCCTCCTCCTCCTCCTCCTCCTTTTCCTCCTTATTCTTCTTTTTCTTTTTCTTCTTCTTTTCCTCCTCCTCCTTCTCCTACTCGTCCTTCATCTTCCATATTAAACCAAAGGAATACATGTTGAATCATTATTAGTTTTCATTATTGCTTCTAGAAAACTTCAGTAACAAAAGCCATGTAATAGACATTGTATAGATCTTTTTTTGTTTTAGCCAAATATCTAGCATTCAGTTTTTATTACTCGAAGACGTGCAAGCTAGAAGCGGATGTGGTAAGTGAGAGTATGTGTAGTGAATGCATTAAATAAATATTGTGTATGCTTTTGATACAAGAGATCCAGCAGATTTATACATGCATAATATTTTAAGGACTTTAAGTATCATCATAATATAATATAATATAATATAATAGTGCCTAGTGCTCTTTCCTGTGAAAATATTAATTGTGACCCATTTCCACGGTAGTTTGTATCCTAAAGTAACAAAATCACAACATCTGGCTTGAGAATAGAGGTGGAGGCAGTCACTGCAGTGCTGCGCTGGCTTGAGAATAGAGATGGAGGCAGTCACTGCAGTGCTGCGCTGGCTTGAGAATAGAGGTGGAGGCAGTCACTGCAGTGCTGCGCTGGCTTGAGAATAGAGGTGGAGGCAGTCACTGCAGTGCTGCGCTGGCTTGAGAATAGAGGTGGAGGCAGTCACTGCAGTGCTGCGCTGGCTTGAGATTAGAGGTGCAGACAGTCACTGCAGTACTGCGCTGGCTTGAGAATAGAGATGGAGGCAGTCACTGCAGTACTGAGCTGGCTTGAGAATAGAGATGGAGGCAGTCACTGCAGTACTGCGCTGGCTTGAGAATAGAGATGGAGGCAGTCACTGCAGTACTGCGCTGGCTTGAGAATAGAGGTGGAGACAGTCACTGCAGTACTGAGCTGGCTTGAGAACCAGTTGTACACATATGACGTAACTGTGATCGTATCCGACAGAATGTTGAAGAATGTGGATCCAGGTGTTTTTCTTGTAGAGTAGCATTATCGTTACAGAGGTCCCGGGTAATTCGCGTCCTTTGGATATTACCTCCAGGTGATACCGGTGTCTATGAAACTAACAAGCAGATTTACTATCAGTCTCTACACCACCTGTACGAGTCACGTTGGAGCAAGTCAACATAGTGGGAGCACAAATATACCATCACAGCATGAGGAGAATGGTGCTGCAATGAGTAAACAAGGAGGGGATCTGGCCGACGCTCAACACTTAAGAGAACGTCGAGACGGATATATAGTTACACAGTTTCTGCTGAAGATTGGGACAGAATACTTATAAGTGTATTGCGAGAGCTGTGATGTCGAAGCCTAATTCACCATTCGACATTGATATACAGAAGCTGAAGGAATATGTGTTCCATCCACACTCTGGAATAGCGCCAGTTTTATATTTTTAAATGGTATTTAAAACATTTCATGGTATTGCTCGCACACTGTTGGGAGATCGCAGACCGTGCCAAGGCATGATCACCCACGCCAGTTGGTACTTGATGCTGACAATGACGGCCTGGGAAGAAAAGGCAACGAAGAAGGGAACTGACATATTCAACTCATACGCTGGGTTCTAGAATATGTGAACGTCTACCTTTATACTAGAAGGACAGTTTCTACGTTAGGATCAACTTTAATGAAGACTTGTTCTCTACACACCCAAAAGTATAGAAGGAGAAACAAAAACGTTTGCTGTATGTGAACGTGTTAATTATGTAGACATCTTGAGCGATTCGTATTTTATTTCGTTACATTCATACCATTATTTGTTGACTTCTGTTTCCCATTTTCAAGATAGCAAATATAGCCTTGTATCTGATTTCCTGAATGACACCCAACAAAAAAACTTCTAAACATTCAGTTGTGGGAGAATTTTGATTTTTGAATAGGAAATCACGGAGAGAAAAGGTGCAACTTTATTTGTTTGTCTAGCTCAAATCAGGCGATGCTTGCTTCTGATTGTACACTTGATTTTTTTTTTTTTTTTTTAATAGAATAAATGTGTTTACATTTTTATGACTGGAACTTGTATCATGTTTTATATCAAATGTATACCGGAGCAATCATGTTACTGGTGTCATTAAATCACTCAGATTCGTCATCATAATTAAACATGTGTTAATTATTTGTTTTGTAATTTTTATAGTTTTTTTTTTTTTTTAAACAAATACCCATTCGCCATCACTACCAAAACAAAAACAACAACATCAGCAAACATGCCACCGTGATGTGAACCACTTTATCAACGCTTTCTGATTTGTATACGAACAAATGAGCCAAGCATCTTAGGCCAAACCCTCCATGAGGCGTGCAACCGTGTCCTTTACTTCATAATCTAAAATTGTTTTTCAATCTTCGTCTCTTTCTTGCACAAGAAATCAGCGTAAAATATCATTACCTGAACAATACAGCTAAGATCCACAATCACTTGTCTGTGCACCGAGGTCTGTGTGTTGTGTCATCCTGTTACCTGCAGGTTTGCCCACTGGTGCAACTTCACGAGTTCTATCCTGTGAGGGAAAACAGTGCGGCAGATCCAGGATTCCTCATTCAACCTCCACATAAGTTCATACTCGCGGCTACACGAGAAATAATATAGATTATTATATAACATGCGAATGAAGATCAAAATAGGCAAAATAGAAGTGATGACATTCTCCAGAAATGGAAGGATCAGAACTATCAAAATTGATGAACACTAGTTAAAGCAGCCGAAGGACTTTATATATTGGGGAGCATTTTCTTTTTAGAAAACAGAAGAACCAATAAAGAAATCTAACAAGGGCGCAATAAAGCCAATCGGGTTTCAGGCCAAATGTCGCCAATCAATTTTTGAAATACATGCATGTAATTATCAATACTAAAAGAAGACTGTTCAGAATAAAATTGCTACCAACACTACGCTGCCAGTGTCAAACATGGACACAAGTCTTCAGAAGACAACAGGAAAATAGTCACGACAGAAATTAAATGTAACAGGGAAAGATTGACTTATGAACGATGACATCAGAAAGAGAATCAGCACATAACCAATACTGAACTTTATAGGCAGACAACAATTAAAATGGTTTGGTCATGTAACAAGATAGGCATGAGATAGAGCACCACAGAGAGCATTGTTTTACCGATACAGGGGTAACTAAGTCAGAGCTCGACCATGCAAAAGTTGGACAGCAGAAATATCAGAGGCACTGAAGATACGCATTGGCTATGAAAGCACGCAAGGGGCGATAATTGGCTAGAGACAGGAGGACTTTCAGACGTGCTGTCACGAGAGCAACGCTATGTAAAAGACCAAGAGATTGATGTTGATGATTATGTCCTGCAGAGGTTTATTTCTTTGTCTTCCACGTTACTGTTTTCCCATTAGTTCCTTAAACAAATTAGCAGTCTATGTTTTCTTACAAAAGGGAAGACTCAATTGTAACGGAATAAGGGTACATGCCTGGGGAAATTGAATCTGGCCTTCTGAGCGCAAAGTGGCTTCAATCACTTGATAATACTCAGATCAGCAGCATATCATGGATTTATTTTTTGTCCAGGATATTGAGGTGTGCGAGTTAACATGCGGGCTGATAGATTAGCCGCTGCCACCCCTCTGGGCGGTAAGCTGTTTTGCGATATAGGTGGTGAATACTTTCTGGGATCAACAGGACAGTGCAATAGATCACACAGAGAATCCACACAGTGAAAGACTAGTTCAACTGGGGATAAGTTAAGGTTTTAGGAATATATTCAACATTAAGAGGGAAACATAGGCGGACTTTCAATCAGGTTGCAACTGATACTGTTGGTATGTAGACACTTTGTTGGTGTGTAGACACTTTGTTGGTATGTAGACACTTTGTTGGTATGTAGACACTTTGTTGGTATGTAGACACTTTGTTGGTATGTAGACACTTTGTTGGCATGTAGACACTTTGTTGGCATGTAGACACTTTGTTGGTATGTAGACACTTTGTTGGTATGTAGACACTTTGTTGGTATGTAGACACTTTGTTGGTATGTAGACACTTTGTTGGTATGTAGACACTTTGTTGGTATGTAGACACTTTGTTGGTATGTAGACACTTTGTTGGTATGTAGACACTTTGTTGGTATGTAGACACCTTGTTGGTATGTAGACACTTTGTTGGTATGTAGACACTTTGTTGGTATGTAGACACTTTGTTGGTA